TCTTGCTCAGTTGTGCAACGCGGCCTCCCACTTCTTTTTCTACTCTGGTTAGAGCCTGTTTGTGCTGTCCTCTGAAGGGAGTAGTTGAAGGACATCTTCAATTTCTTAGCAATTTCTCGCATGGAATAGCCTTCATTTCTAAGAACAAGAACAGACTGCTGAGTTTCAGATGAAAGTTCTCTTTTTCTGGCCGTTTTGAGCGTTTAATTTACCCCACAAATGTGATGCTCTAGAAACTCAATCTGCTCAAAGGAAGGTGAGTTTTGTAGCTTCTGTAACGAGCTAAACTGTTTTCAGATGTGTGAACATGATTGCACAAGGGGGTCAGTTTTGTAGCTTCTGTAACGAGCTAAACTGTTTTCAGATGTGTGAACATGATTGTTCAAGGGTTTTCTAATCATCAATTAGCCTTCTGAGCCAATGAGCAAACACATTGTACCATTAGAACACTGGAAAGATAGTTGCTGGAAATGGGCCTATATACACCTATGTAGATATAGCACCAAAAACCAGACATTTGCAGCTAGAATAGTTATTTACCACATTAGCAATGTATAGAGTGTATTTCTTTAAAGTGAAGACTAGTTTAAAGTTATCTTTATTGAAACATACAGTGCTTTTCCTTCAAAAATAAGGACATTTCAATGTGACCCCAAACTTTTGAACGGTAGTGTAGGTATTTATCATTAGTAGAAAAAAACAAAGAAAACCTTGTATTTTTACCCAGCCACAAACAAAGTTAAATAATGAATCAAACTCTTACCAAATCTTTTGGGACATTTGATAGAGGATAAAATAAAACACTAATAAAAAATAATATTGTAATATTGAGCTGAAAAAACTATCGATAATAAGTGTAAAAGTAGGCATCACTATTACTGTATATTTAAAGACCTAAGTATTTTAAATTTTAGGAGTATATGAATTATATAGATTACCTAACAACAGCTGTATGGCAGATGTTGTATCATCGGTAACATGAAATAAATCTAGTGGCAGGAAATGAAAAGTATGCACAGACCAGCTAGTAATCTTAAACCGACATTGACTAGGAAATCCTAAAATGTTTTTTATTTTTTTGGGATCACCTCAATAATCTGTTGACTACTTTTTTCTTATTGCTCCCTCTTTGTGTGCAGCTTTCGGGACATGGGATGGCCGTGTGCGCTTCAAAAGCAGTCAACCCACAGTGGACTGGACTCTGGTCATCATAAGCACCAAGGTCTCAGATGAAGGCAATTATATGTGTCACATTGTTACCTTCCCAACAGGGAATTTTGAGAAAGAGATGTCTCTCACCGTCTGGAGTAAGTCAATCCCTCATTTTCTTGATGTAATGTGGTTAAAGGTGAACACAGTATAAGTGAAAAGCAACAAATTTGACCTACGGTAATTAGTAAAAAAAAATGTATTTCTCTTTAGATACGTAACTGTTTTTCTAAGCCTTCAAAGTAGAATAACTATTTTTGAAATATAAAAATCAAATTCACACCCCTTCGATATATTTCAACATAGTTAAAGTTTTCAAGGAATAATCCCACTAATAGCCTCATCATATTACTTGCTTCAATTACAATTAGGAAGATACGCTTCCTTATGTAAAAAAAAAATACTGTAAATATCACCTAAATCCACATCTAATACCACTGCTAACTCCAGTCATTTAATCACAAGAACGGTGAGGCTGCCACAGAATAATTTTGGTTGGTCTACCTTCACAGGCAACAACAGCCTTCAATTTAGTTCAGCTTGATCAAATTAAATCCAGTTTACCTATATAATATCACTTCACAACAAACATCTCAAGGTATTTTGCAAAAAAAAAGCAAAATGCATGTGATCATAGTATTCTTTGCAGAATACCTCTAATTCAGCTACACTGAGGGTTTTCTGTAGCCTCGTGAGACCATCCTGATCTCGCGAGCTTTCAAGGTTTCACTCGCAGATCAGTCTGGAGACTCTCGATTAAAGAAAATTTGGAGCCGTTCACCAAACAAATCCAATCAGCGTTGGCTTTGAGGCGGGTTGAGGTGTGATGCAACGAGAAGCACGACAGTTCAGTCTAAAAAACATGGCGGCTTCATCCGATGAAACTAGCGTTAGCTTGGCTATCGAGCAAGTTTTATCGGAATTGCACTGTATTTATTCACTAAACGAAGAGCAAAACACTGCTCTGGAGGCTTTTCTCAAAGGAAAAGATGTTTTTGCTCTTCTCCCGACTGGTTTCGGCAAGAGTAGCCTGGCTTGTGGTTGTGTTTTCGTCGTCGCTCTGTTAGTACGTCATATGCTTCGTTGATCTGATTGGTTTATTTGGCCCGTCTATCACCAGAGATGGCAAAAGTACTCACTTTCCGTACTTGAGT